TTCGGAAGCCGCCATGGTTTACGACAACGCCGCGATCCAGCTCCGTGGCCCCGACGCGCTCACTAACTTCGCCACCCCGCCGCCACGCGCTATGGCGGAGACGGAGAAGCCTCCGCCGGGGAACGCCGACGCCACCGCCTCCACCAGCACCAGCGTCGGAATCTGCTCGCCGGTGTCGGTTCTCCGGTCTCCGTTCTCCGTCGAGGAATCCTCCAAGCCATCACCTACGGTGGTTGAGCCGTCGACCACCGTGACGGAGTCGTTCTCGGATTTCTCGGCAACGTTGTTCCAAAACGACGACGTGTTCGATTTCCGAAGCTCGGTGCCCGACTTTTTCGGCGGGGATATATTCGGTGAAGATCTATTCTCATGTACGGGTCCGGGTTTGAATCTCGGGTTTGAATTCGGATCCGGGTTCGGGTCCGGATTCTCCAGCTGGCACGTGGAGGACCATTTTCAAGACATAGGGGACCTATTCGGGTCGGATCCTCTCCTCGCGGTCTGAATCAAAACACCGATAAATAAACCGGCCGTTAACCGGTCGCGTGTTTTAGTACCTGTGGAAACTTGACAATATCAAGCGGTGTTTACGGTTTTAGTTTTGTTTTGTTTTTTCTTTCAATTTTGTCTTATAAATTAAGATTTTTTTTTGGTATAAAAAAATTATTTATATAATTAGCGTTATGAAACTCCCGTCGCATAACGGTGTGGGGGGGGGGGGGACGAGTTTCTTTCACTGTCCACGTTCTTTATTTTTCCCCTTTGGAAATTCCTTTATCATCTCTCTTTTTTTATTATTGAAGTTGCCCTGAGGCACGTGTCACCGCACGTGATGGGAACAATGGAAAAATCTTGATTAATTTAGTTTTGTAAGATAAAAAGATTACACGTGTGAAGAATCGAATCTAAGCAAGTGTGTCCATATAAAGGAAACTTGTTTCATTCTTCTCTCAAACTGTATTATGCACAATACCACCGAATTAACGTTAATTATTAATATTATTATGTCGTTTTTGGTAAATCACATAATAAAGCACATTTAAATCGCATTCTGATAATATGTTGATTACGGTAAGTTTTTAGTTTTTTTTCTGAAAGCATATTTTTAATTTCAAGAAAAACACACACATTTACCTCATCTATCGATAGAGACCATTATTATGTTCTTTTGCCTTTTAGGACAAAAAAATCATACTTTTCTCTAAGATTTAAAAATTATCCAAATATAATTAGATATACATATAAGAAAGATTCTTCAAACAAGTAAATACGTGTTCACGACCAGTTGAAAAAAATACTTTTAATTATAATTAAATATTTTGAATTTTGTGAATTTATATTGATTATTTTAAAATTCATTTAATAAATAGTTTATATTCGTTCAATTTTCACATAAGTTGTTTTAGTGTAAATTTTGTTATCCCAACTTCTATTTTCATTTACAAAATATATTTATTTAAAAAATTCACTTTTGATTATATTATATTGTATTTATTTTTAAAATTTTTCAAGCAAATATTATTATGTTGAATACTAACTGCATTTCTATTCGATAAGTTTGATTTTAGGAAAATTATATATGATTAATTTTAACATTTGATTAGCATGAATATATATTATTCTATTGAATTTGGTTAAATTTTAGTAATCGAATCGAAATGTTAATTAGGAAAAGGAAATCAACATCTGTAAATCTAATGAATTTAAAAAATTGTGTTTTTGTGCAAGATTTATCAACTGTAATTGTATTTTTACAATGAAATTAAATCTAAAAAATAGCATATATAGAAAATAAGTATTCCGGATAGTTGGTAACCATTTTCACCATTGCTTTCTAATTCAAGTTTTTTTTTTTGTATTGTAACGTAGAGATGAGAAATTTTATTTTAAATGAATAATATTTAATATTTTGTAGATTAAAATTCGGGGAAAAAAGCTTTTGGTAAATAAAAAATTGCAAATCGTTTCTTGGAAAACCGGAAATTGGAAAAAATAATTAATTAATAAGTAGAGGAAAATTCTGATACAACGGAGAACAAACAAGAGTGACACGTAGACTGTAGCCGCAAATACTCGAGAAAGAGCAAAGTTATGTCACTTTCCCTCAAGATCCCTATCCCTCTCTCTGCCCCCTCAGGCCTTTTTTTTTTATTAAATTAATAATTAAATTCAAGACGAAGCATGCAAGTTGCTGGTTAAATTTCAAAGATACTGAAATCCGGTTTTCTTATTTTTAGTTAAACAAATATTATATTTATAATGACTGACCAATCGCATATGAAATATAATAAACCGTAAAACCAAAGCAAACACAATATTAATAAAGCTGGATTTTGATTTTATTTGACATATCAGAGGTTAGGTTAGGTTACTTTTATTTTTTAATTTTCAAAAATTCTATTTATTTTTTTTTTGTATCGTTTTTATACGAATTTGATTTTATTTTAAACATATAATAATTACGAACTATTAAAGAGTTGGGTCCCATTAGGTCATGAGAATTGTGTGATTCATTCATGCATGCCCATCAATTTGCAAAACAATTTCATTTTTCTTTTTTTTTTACAAAAAAAAACAGCTACGTATTTAATATTTTATCATCTGCTCGTATAGTAATGAGCCCATAAATCTTTACAAGTGGCCTTTCTATGGTCCGAGTTCATGTGGTCATGGGCCAAGTGATACACTTGCCAATACACACACACACACACACGAATAACTATGTATATGCGTGTATATATGTGTACGTATATATTTATACGTAGGCTGTCCCATCGGCAAAGATTTTGTTGTCATAAAATTCCAGAGTTTTTGTAAGATTCATACAGAGGAAAATGGGGACCCCTAATTCATATAAGACCCCTTTTTTTGTTATTTTTCTGTCACATAAAAAAATACTATTATAATAGCAATATTTGATGGGGATATATATATAGATACACACACACACACACATTAAAATATAGCAGAAGCGGACACTGGTAGAATTCTGACTGAAATCAAATAAAAGATCCGAATTTATGAATATGATATCTAAAAATATTATTTGAAATGATATGAGAAAATCAGTGAAAATATATTGTTGTTAACTTTAAAATATTACACTAAGGCATGTATAATTATATTTTATTCATAAAAATGTATTTTACGTGTGTTTCGTGGATATAGATATTTTGTATTTTTAATGTATAAAATATTTAATTGAAAATAATCTTACGCTGTTATTTTTTTAGTATATTTCCATCTAGACTAATTTAATAGTTTCTATTTTTTAATCGACTATCGATTATGCCTATTTTATTTCAGGTTATTAGTTCAATTTAAACATTATAATAAGATGCATAAAAAACTATATTGGAACCCAATGTATATCACCATCTTTCTTAAAGATAGACATTTTGGTTTTCAATTCAGATCGGATTTAAAATATTCATTCATTTTATATACTGATTTTGATTCGATTTGTTTACATTTAAATTTGACTAAATTTTTATTGGGATTTGAGTAGACTATATTTATAAAAACATTTTTTTCTTTTAAAAAAATATTTTGTTTAAACTTTTAGATTTTTTAATATTTGATTCGTATATAAATTTTTTATTTTAAAATATTCATATTGAGTTGATTTTTATATTATATTTCATTAAAATACTATTATATATTATTCAATTCGAATTTATTTATTGTTGGATTTTATTCAGCCAAAGGAAAATGACCTCCCCTAGTTCGTGGGAAATCTTTTGAGGTACCGAGTTGTATATTTGACTAGAAATAACAATTAGAACGAAGGATAGAGAATCATGAGGATTTGCAATCTCAGCCGTCCACGTCATACCGGATCTCAACGGTTTGTCCCAAGGATCCTCCCCCAGTACGGTCGTAATCCGAAGTTCAACTGATCTCTTGGTTGGGATAATCTGAATACCGGTTTAATTCTGAACCGATGAATCAATTTGTAATTCATAATAAAATTTAAATATTTAAGATTATATTATCGTGTAAACTTTAAAAATGAAATAATTATGCTCAACGTTTCTTTGTTGATTTTCTGTTTTTTCAGCTAAACCCCAAAATGTAAGATTTTAATCTGAACCGGTCTGCGTCAGCAATATGAAGCCCAGTTGACCGTGAAAGCCGAAATCTATCTCAACTAATAATAAAAAAAAAGAATAATATTTTGATAAATATTGAACTATATTATTCGATAATATGATACGACTCAAAGAATTTTAATTTAGTTTTTTTGAGGTATACACGATAGTAATTTTTCATGAAGGTATATTCGATAATCTGAATTATTATTTTAAACAATGTAATAAAACCATGCATTCACATTATAACATAGTTCCGGTCCACCGACAATAACATCATAGTATAATCATAATTTCATTCATGGAAAAACACACAAATATACAGTACATCTACAGGACAATCCCCTACCCCCCAAAAATAAATAAATAAATAAATAAAGACAGTAGTAGATAACATTCACACACAATGGATGGACGAAGAGACATGATAATGATGAAAAGGTACGTATACGGATGAAAGAGACAACGTCTCATGAAAAATGGCAGAGATAAATAAATAAATAAAAACCAAGGCCCACGGATATTAATGTTTTAAATTTTAAATTACCCCCCCCCCCCCCCCCAAATAAATAAATAAAAACCAAGGCCCACGGATATTAATGTTTTAAATTTTAAATTCCCCCCCCCCCCTCCCCCTTCACGTTACGTACCATATTGTCCCCATGCATTTAACATGTTTCATCCCTTCTACCACCTTTTACTGATTTTTTTTTAAAAAAGAAAGAACAAAACCCTACCAACAAAATTTTCAGTTGTAAACTCATTTATTATTCGTTTTTGTAACCACTACGGCTGTTGCCACTAAACACTTTTGTTGTATTTTGTATGTACTTTCGTAGGTTGTATAAAATTTGGTGTGGATTTGGGTATATATATATATATATACATACACATATATGTGTATTTGTTGTCTGAAATATTTACGAGTGAAGAAAAATACGAAGATGTGTCAACATGTTTTAATTAAGGGGAACTCCCCCAACTCTGTTGGTTTGAGACCCCACTTCTTGAACAAGAGGTCGTGGGTTCAACACCCAGGGTATGGAGATTTCCCCTCTGGCCACCTTCGGGTGCTTCACATCCCACACGTGTGGTGCCGGTTGTGCGTGTGGGTCGGGATTAGTTTGGGCCCTTTGGGCCTGAGATTACCCGGTTATCAAAAAAAAATGTTTTAATTAAAATGTATATTAGAGTTGAGTAAGCGTTGAATACCTCACAATCGTAACGTGTCTATACATCCAAACCCGAAAATCAGATTTACTATCCAAACTCATATATATAGTGGACTGAATTTGTTGGGTAACCATAAATACTCGAACCCACATCTACCAAAAAAACGAGCGTAATTTTATATTTTTAATTAATAAATAGCTGGAATAATTTTATATTTTCAATAATTTTTTTATCCCATATTTGAAACGAAAACCTGAATTCGTATGTACTAAATTCGGTATCAGCACCGGATCCGTGCGGTTTTTCCTGATCGATACAAGTGGTCGGATAATTTTGTCGACCGTATTATTTCATGATCGAGATATTATTATTAGTTACCGTATTATTTTGTTGAGTTATATTTCAAAAATATGGGCTTAAAGATGTGTTCCTGAAATGGGCTTAGAATGGGCTTGGCTCTATTTCTAGGACACGTGGCATATCCGTCAGTAATGTCCGGACACCGACATGTGATCCTATCAGAGCCCATCGCGCAATAACATATCAGTACTTCAATCCGTGTGTGTAAGTTTTTACACATCAAAGGACAATTCGAGGAAAATTTGCATCAAGAAAATGGAGAAGAGAACAATCTCCTCCCAAGTTCATTACATATTAGAGCCGACAAGAGATTCAACTCTTTTTCAAACGATCTTTCCGGCATTGCTGTCTTTACCTAACGGACCATTCTTTAAGCAAACACCCTATCAACATAAAACGAACCTCACTTTCAGAACCTAAACCTCCAATGTCTAGAGATAAACTGAAAAGCATGTATCTTTCTTGTCTCGAAAACATCACTTTCCTTGATTTCTCCCCATTGTTTCTCAAAGGGTTCCTCCATTCAAAGCCCTGATTTTGGCCCTTTGCTATCCCCTGAGCCAGAAGATTTGAGATCGTATCGTTTGTGTTGAGATCTCGGGTCATTACCAGTTTACCATTGAAGGCATGAGGTGTTACCGTTGTAACCTAAAGCTCACGGGTTCGAGTCCTGGAAGCAGCCCTCTTGTAAAAAAAAAGAGTGCGGAGATGATTTGTGCACCGCCCTGCCCTTTAGGGAGTTGCAGGTGAAGGATCACCTCGGTTTCTGTAAGTGACTCTTTGAAAAACTGCAGGACTTTGATAGAGCCACTAGAGTTAGCAGCAACAACCATATTCGATCTTTTTCTCCAGCAGACACTTGACACGAATAGGCCATTTTCATCATCATTCTGCCTACCCGAAACGGGGTCCATTGAACCGAACTTGTAGGAAGTGATGGGCATTGGCAGAGATCGGTGGCAGTAGCGGACCCAAAACTATTTTTATGTGGGGGGCAATGTATAATTTTATAAAATAAGTATAATCTTATTGGGGGGCATTTATGAATATTGCTCAATAATTATATAAAACATAGAAAGAAATTAACTTTTTTGACTAATTATATGGGGGCACGTGCCCCCACTGAATACTATGTAGGTCCGCCACTGATCGGTGGTAGGCATAAACCTGATGAAGGAAAAAACACAGAGGAATCAGTTCTCTCCAGTTCTAGAGAAGCATGGCAATACGAACATGATTAGTTTCAGTACGAGCTGTGTACAAAAAAGATTGATGATTAGTCATCAGTTACTCCTTAGAAAAAAATAGACAAGAAAAACACATTTGCAGTTCCAAATATGGAACACCCAAAAAATAGTTTTTTTTTAGATTGAGAGCAACTGAATGATAGAACCCACTAATCCATAATGAATCCAATTAAGTCCCAAAGCCCATGGATAGAACTCACCCAAAAGTTAACTTATTGGGGACTCTCATCAATTGAGTTAAGTAATACAGGGGAAACATTATTCACATGGATATAACACTTTTTGTATGGGGAAGAAGTACAACTCCATAGCTACTGAGTATAGCTAAGAATCGAACTCTCTCAATCTGTGATATATTCCTCAGGTTCTACCAGGTAATTGACGATGTGTGATGACAACAAAGGGAGATTCTTAAGACAGACTAATATAGAAGTATAAAGGAGTTCCTCCCGCATTCAAGAGGGACATACCTCATTTGTCTGTGATCCACAAGCTATATATCCATCGGGAGTGGACAACCCGACAAAGTTCTGTAAACAAACAAGATTGAAAAATATTTTATAGAAAAAATCAACTAAAAACTAAAAAATACCTATAGTTACAGGTATAATGTGAATTAGGAGGGCTGAGGGTACATGACCCATTCTAATTAAAAAATAAGTAATTCTTAGGCAAATTTTATAAAATTATGAAAAAAAATATCCTATACCCCATAAAAATAGCATTTGATTCTATAAAATGATATATATAAAATCAATATCCCCATTTATATTTTTTTCTAGGTCCGTCATGGTAAAAATAATAAGAATCTTATTTTATCTTTGTATAGATATAGTTATAGTGTGAAATTATTTTTAAAACAATGGATTTTTTTAAAAATAATTTATATAATTAGTTTTTGATAAAAAATCTAATATTTTTTAGGCGAAAATATAAAAAAAAAAAATTTTGGCTGATTTTTTTGAAAAAAAATGATTTATCGAGTTTTAGGAAAAATCAAATAATAAAATTACTGTATATTTTTTGGTTTTTTTAACTCACAAAAAATGGAAAGCTTTTTTCAGTTAAGGCCTAAAACGAAAAATTGGCTGTTCATCCCAAAAAAATTCGAGGAGAGAGGCTTACAAAAACAGAACAATATTTTAGGATAAAGTGGAAAATTGAATGATATTTCTCTTTAAAGTTCTTACAAAAACAGAACAAAATTTTAAGCCTTAGGAAAATACACTAACGTTGTCTTGTTTATTTGTAATAACAAGTGTAATATAGATTTTTTGAAACCTGCTTCTGGTCATACAGAAGCTCATCCTAAACATACTTTCTTCTGCCCACCCGCGAGACGAAGATGACGAACCTGACCTGGTTTTCTTCTTCGACGAATCAGCGACATCTTCTTCTCGTCAAGCTCGTTTCCGTGATTTTGATTGCGGGTCTCTCCTTTCGCTTCTTCTTCTTCCGCTCCGCCGAGATTTCTCCGATCGAAGTGTGGTTGGCCGGAAAATTCAGTGCCCAAATCTCGCCGCCGACCATTGTTGTGCCCGATAACGAGGACCTAATTCCTCAAGGTAAGACTAGTTTGTGGAGAAAGTTTACGGCTTTTTCTGTGAATCTTTCGTCTTCTTGATGCCATTGTTGAGAGGATTTAAGTTTTTTTTGTCTGGGCACAGTTCTGAGATTTAGGGTCTGTGGCGATGTTTCTGGATCTGAAAGGTTGAAAATTTCTTGATGGGTTTTGGTTGTTGAGTGGTGAAAGAAAGTGAAACTTCATTAGATCTTGTTGCTCTGCTCATGTGATCTCTTGTCCTATGAAGTGTATGATTGTGATTAATGCAAGTGATACTCTGTTGATTTTTGTTGGATATTGCATGATAGTTTGTTCACTATGCTCAAGCTTTTTCTTATGGTTCAATCTTAGAACTTAAAACCTTGTGATCTAATTCGAGTTTCATTCAATGGTACCGTACTTCATTTCGAGCTTTTGTGATGTTCTTGACAGTTTTTCCGGCTTTCTTATTCAAAATCCGATGGTTTACACCGTCTCGCGAGGTCATGTTGATATTCAGATGGATTGATCTGAGTGATTAGTTATGTTCTTAGTGATGTTATCAATCTCTTATCAAAAAATTTTGGTAGATTCATATTGCGAGAGTCATGTTTGATTTCCAGTACTCTGTTCATCAATCATGCAATTTCGATTCAAGCTTTATGATATCATTTCAACGATTTGATTTGAAGTTGTACCCCCTTTGGAATTCCTCAGCTTCCCGGGAATTCTTGAACTCAAACTTGTGATAAGAATCGACTCATTGTTCCGTTTTTCTTGCATCAGATGTCGTGACAGAGAAATGTGATCTCTTCACCGGGAAATGGGTCCCGAATCCATCGGGACCGATCTACACGAACAGCACTTGCCATTTCATAGTCCAACACCAGAACTGCATCACCAATGGCAGGCCTGACTCGGGATTTCTCTACTGGAAATGGAAGCCTCATGACTGTTCATTGCCTGCTTTTGATGCTCAGAGATTTCTACAACTCATGAGGAATAAATCCTGGGCTTTGATCGGTGACTCCATATCTCGTAACCATGTCGAGTCTTTGCTCTGTATGCTCTCCACGGTATGGGTTCATTTATTTTCTCCGAGAAATCTACAATGATCATATGTTCGAATACATTAGCTAGTGTCTAAACACGCGATTCATAAAAATCTTAGCTGAAAACTACAATTTCGATCCTATACTGAATAAAATATGCAGATTTCATCTTGTAATTCATGTAAAACGCTATTGAAACCTGTAGTTACCGCCCTTTGGGTATGGCATTAGGGTGTAACTCGTATGTTTTGTACGAATCCGTGATTGGAATTCACGAATACATCGCGAATATTCTGAAAATACGCTGTCTGAAGCCGTAAATATTGCTCTTTTTGAGTTTTCATGAGCCCGAAAACATGTTTTTCAGGTTGAAGAACCTGTTGAAGTCTATCATGACAAAGATTACAGATCAAAACGGTGGCATTTTCCGTCGCACAACTTCACCATTTCCAACATCTGGTCCCCGTTCCTCATCGAGGCTGTAATCTCCGAAGACTCCAATGGTGTCTCCATGGCCATTGCCCAACTCCAGCTCGATAAACTCGACAAAACATGGACCGATCTCTACCCGAGCCTCGACTACACGATAATCTCCACGGGGAAATGGTTCTTGAAAGCCGGGGTGTACCACGAGAATGGAAATCCCGTCGGCTGCCATTTCTGCCCCGAGAACTCGAACCTCACGGAACTAGGGTTTGCCTATGCGTACAAGAATTCGCTGCGTAATGTCATGGACTTCCTCGTGAATTCTAACAGTAAAGGTATGACCTTTTTCCGGACATCAACTCCTGATCACTTCCAAGGCGGGGAGTGGCATAACGGGGGGACATGTCCGAAGACAGAACCAGTTGGGGAAGAAGACATCAAGAACAAGGATCTGAACAAGATTCTTCGAGATGTCGAATTCAGTGAGTTCGAGCGAGCGGTTCGACAGAACGGCACAGCCATGAGGCTTCTAGATTTCACCGGAATGCTACTGACTCGACCCGACGGCCACCCGGGTCCGTACAGAGAGTACAGACCGTTCGAGAGGGACCAGAAGACGAAGGTACAGAACGATTGCCTTCACTGGTGCTTGCCTGGTCCCATTGATTACTTGAACGATGTGATCATGGAGATCATAGTCAATGGCTAAACTGGGTCGTATTCAATTTGCTTAACCGGGAGAATTGAAAACCCGGTTTGATCAGGGAGATGGAATCACACACCAGTGTAAATTGAGACAATGTGATCATGGAGGTCATTGTTGACGGCTGAACCGGATGGAAGAAGGGAAACCGGCTCGGTTTGGGTTTAATTTCTTACTTTGTTGGTGCAATTTTGGTAAACCGTTAGAAACTGTGTTGAACCGGAGATTGGTACCGGATTGTAGATGGATGATTGCTCTTTGTTCATATTGCGTCTTTGCTTCAAAAGTAATTTGTTCCACGTAGTTTTTGGTAAATCGGTCTAATGAATCATTAATGGTAACATATTGGAATAAAAAAAACAAAAAAAAAGCAATATATTTATTTAAGAGTAATATTCGTCCAAATTCCAACGGTCAAATTTTAAAAAGGGAAAAAAGCTTACCATAAGCTTCGGACGCCAAGGATTTCTTCAATCTGCAAAACTACTGTTTGAATTTCAAATTTTCCAACCGTTGTATCTTTCTCCCTATATAAAACCAGCTAGGGCTTCTCGCAGTATTCACGTTTCTCTCTCTAATTTTCAAATCCCATTCTCTCTCTCCCCCCTCTCTTTCTCTCTAGAAATGGCTACGGTCGCAGATCCAGCTCCGGCAAAGAAATCGAGGGGTAGGAAGGCGCTGAAGCAGAAGAATGAGATCGTTGAGACGCAGCCGTCTCCGTCGCCGGCTTCAGTGAAGGCACAAGCGGCGAAGTCTTTCGAGAAAGATCTGATGGAGATGCAGGCGATGCTGGAGAAGATGAAGATCGAGAAGGAGAAGACGGAGGAGTTGCTTAAGGAGAAGGACGAGATCCTGAAGCGAAAGGACGAGGAGCTGGAGAGTAAAGGTGCCGAGAAGGACAAGCTTAAGATGGAGTTGAAGAAGCTGCAGAAGATGAAGGAGTTCAAGCCTAACATGGTAAGATTTCTAGATCTGATTCCTGATTTTAATTTTGGTTTATAGATTATATTATTTGAGATGATTTTGGGGGATTTATTCGGTAGATGTGATTGATCGGCAGCTGTGTTGTACAAAATATGTAGTTGATCCAGTTAACTTACGATTTATAGGATTTAGATTGTTATGGAATTTGATTCAGGAGCAGTTCTCTGTAGCGCCATATAAATTATAATACATCCTTAAGCTTTGATCTAGGATTAATAAATTAGACTGTATAGATTGGTTAGAATTTTGGTTTGAATTTCGTTTGATGGCAAAGTGTTTGTGCAAAAATTAAGACAGAGAATCAATCAATATGAAGATAAAATTATATCCAAGAGGTGGATGATGATTTCAGTTGTGTGCTTTCGATTTCATTGCGTTGCTGATAATTGATTTCAGAAGAAGATATTAGTGTCTTTTGGGGACTGATTTGAAAATGTCTGCGTTGATCCTCAGGTTTTCCCTTTCAATCAATCACTCGTACAAACAGAACAGGAAAAGAAGGGGAAGAAGAAGAAGGATTGTCCCGAGACGAAGCGGCCATCCACACCGTATATCTTGTGGTGCAAGGACAATTGGAATGAAGTCAAGAATCAAAATCCAGAAGCGGACTTTAAGGAGACTTCGAACATTCTCGGCGCTAAATGGAAGACTCTCGGCGCTGAAGAGAAGAAGCCTTACGAAGAGAGGTACCTGACGGAGAAGGAAGCATATCTCCAGATTATTGCAAAGGAGAAGCGTGAGAAGGAAGCCATGAAGTTGCTGGAGGATGACCACAAGCAGAAAACAGCCATGGAGTTGCTTGATCAGTATCTCCAGTTTGTGCAGGAAGCTGACCAGGACAACAAGAAGAAAGCCAAGTAAAAACAAGCTTGTTCAGTTCACTGATCATTACCTATCTGATACGAATAATAAGAAATGGGCGCTGACTACAACATTTACTTGTTGTCTTCAGGAAGCAGAAGGATCCGCTGAAGCCAAAACAGCCATTGTCTGCCTTCCTGATGTATGCGAACCAGAGAAGAACAGCGCTAAGGGCAGAAAATAAGAACCCTGTGGAGGTGGCGAAGGCAACTGGAGAAGAGTGGAAGAACATGTCTGAAAAACAAAAGTCACCATACGAAATGGTGTGTTTCCAAGTATTCACTGCAATTGCCGTGCGGGTTTTTTCCTTCATTGATCTCTAATATTTGAGTATAACTTAAATTAAACAGATGGCGAAGAAGAACAAGGAGGTATACCTGCAAGAGATGGAGGTTTACAAAAGGAAGAAGGAGGAAGAAGAGATGAATCAGAAGAAAGAAGATGAGGAACTCATGAAGCTCCACAAACAGGAAGCACTTCAACTTCTCAAGAAGAAGGAGAAAACCGAAAACATGATAAAGGTGATTTCTCTCTCCCTTCGCCCCTCCACCATTAATGCCCAATCCAAGACTTGCTCATATCTTTCTTGCAGAAGAAGAAAGAGACCAAGAAGAAGAAGAAGAACGAAAACGTTGATCCTAACAAGCCCAAGAAGCCAGCTTCTTCATTCTTTCTCTTCAGGTACTAAACCCTAAGCTCAATCGAGAAGAGGATTAGACCAAATCGAAACATTTCTGTAACCGTCGGTCCATTTTGTTACAGCAAAGACGCGAGGAAGAGTTTGCAAGAAGAACGCCCTGGGATCAACAACTCGACCCTCAACGCCCTCATCTCCGTAAAATGGAAGGTAACCAAAATATTCTTCATTATGAGGATATACACATGAATTCAATTCATTCATGCTTTCTTTGAAAAAAAAAATGCAGGAACTCGACGAAGCAGGGAGGCAGATTTACAACGGAAAAGCCGCAGAATTGATGGAAAGTTACAAGAAGGAACTGGAAGAGTACAACAAGAAATGTGCAGCCACTACTACTTCGTAGAAAGCTCACAAAAAAAAACTAAGTCCAAGATGTTCAAAGTCTATCTGCTCGTATTGAACATCTTTTTGTGTTCCCTTTTAGGACTATTAATTGGAGAAAATTTCCCAAAATTTTTGCCTCTTTTACATTATCATCAACCAAACCGGTTCTAAACCGGCTTCGTAATCTTAAAAGGTGTTATTTTGACTAACCGGCATCGCCATCTTAAAAAAAATGTCTATCTGCTCGTATACTGAACATCTTTTTGTATTCCTTTTTAGGACACTCTTAATTGGAGAAAATTTCCCAAAATATTCGCCTCTTTCCCAAATTGCATCAACTAAACCGGTTCTTAACCGGCTTCGCAATCTTAAAAAATGTTATTTTAGTCCAAAAAAAAAGATACAGATCTTTAGAGTAATTTCTACCGTCGGATCTAGCGGTTCTAGAGATCGACTCGCGTGAAAAAAGAGGTGAAGCCAGTGTCAATCTCGACCGTCGGATCGAACTGGAAATCCACGTCGAAGATTGGAGAGCTCCCCGTGGAGGTATTGGCAGAAGACATCATCAGCCCGGGGAAATCCGACGGATCAGAACCACCCACGTGGCAGAATCCGAAGTCGGAGTCGTCGTAAAACAACGTCGCTGCCGGGAACGAGAAAGCGTCGACGCCGAGATTGGTCCCGAGGCTGTGGAGAGGGTCATTTTGGTAATTTCCGGTGGCTTTGTTAGATTTGGCGTCCTGCGTTTCGGGGGAAGCCGGGGGAGGGATCGCCTGCGAGCAGGTGTGTGTTCCTCTGTATGTCACTTCGAAGACCGCTGGATCACCGTCCGATCTCTGGACTTGCTTCGTCGCCCAACAGTTCTGCGTGTTACGGTACGTGCATCTGTAATAACTCCTGTAATAATTAAACGAAAACATTGAGTATTCGATGATGATGATGATGATAAGGGGTGGTTGGTTTGGGTTCGATTCCCGTTTGGTTCGGATATATTTGTATTTGGTTATTTCGATTTTTGAAAAAATTATAATCATCCAATTCATTTCCTTTCGGTTTGGTCACCTTTTGATTTTCATTGATAAAAATAGGCGTGAATGTTTCGGTATTCAGTCCAAATTCGATACGATATTTGATCTATTCGTGTCATTCGATCATAGAAAATTTTGTACCCACCGGTCATTATATTCGGTTCGGTTTTGGTCTAGATTCGAATTCGGTTTTACATTTTCTAAAAAAATCATAACTATTTTGTTTTTTTATTCGGTACGGTTATATTTTTATTCGGTTTGGAATCGTTAACCGGTTACCTGGGAAATCTAGAAGCCAAGATATCTTTCTGGCCGTACTTTCTCCAGCTAAAACCATCGTCTTGAGGACCCTCGAACCCTCTCTCTGGGCTTATTCTCACCTTCTCCGTCCACTTTGGCATCGTCTTCCTGCAAATATTTTTTTTTTCGATCTCAATTCCCTCTTTCTTTGATTCTTTTACCATTTGTTTTGGAAAAAAAATCATTTTCTTTCAATGTCTACCTCTTCTTTGGATTAAAGTTGTAATCTTGATTCAACTCTTCGCTTCTCGGGCTCCCGTTTATCGACGCCGGAGATTCCGCTTTCCCGCCGGAGTTCAACACCGGAATCACCGCCGCCGCCGGTGGAGTTACCGGCTGGACGGGGAATGTTTCGGTATTCAGTCCAAATTCGATACGATATTTGATCTATTCGTGTCATTCGATCATAGAAAATTTTGTACCCACCGGTCATTATATTCGGTTCGGTTTTGGTCTAGATTCGAATTCGGTTTTACATTTTCTAAAAAAATCATAACTATTTTGTTTTTTTATTCGGTACGGTTATATTTTTATTCGGTTTGGAATCGTTAACCGGTTACCTGGGAAATCTAGAAGCCAAGATATCTTTCTGGCCGTACTTTCTCCAGCTAAAACCATCGTCTTGAGGACCCTCGAACCCTCTCTCTGGGCTTATTCTCACCTTCTCCGTCCACTTTGGCATCGTCTTCCTGCAAATATTTTTTTTTTCGATCTCAATTCCCTCTTTCTTTGATTCTTTTACCATTTGTTTTGGAAAAAAAATCATTTTCTTTCAATGTCTACCTCTTCTTTGGATTAAAGTTGTAATCTTGATTCAACTCTTCGCTTCTCGGGCTCCCGTTTATCGACGCCGGAGATTCCGCTTTCCCGCCGGAGTTCAACACCGGAATCACCGCCGCCGCCGGTGGAGTTACCGGCTGTACGGGCGGCGGCCCAGCCCAGTTCAGCATCAGCAGAGCTTTCTCGTACGAGGAAACTATCCGGAGCACCAGGCTCTCGTTAGTCTCCGTCGTAGGCGGAAAAGATTCCGGCGACGGAGACGGCGATTCTCCGATGTGTGACTGGAGCTGCTTCGCCGCCTCCATCCCGTGAATCAACTCGCTGACCAGCGTCGTCGTGTCCCAATTCAACATTTTTCTCCCCGAAGATTTCTCACAAAAATCAAAGAAATTCTCTGTTCGATTTCTTGCTCAACAATGGTACAACATTTCATGCAAAAATCTACGGAATCATCGGATTTGGATCGTGGGTGGACAAGAACAACGGTTTCTCCGGATGAAAATTGTCTCGAGACCGATCAGAAATCGAATATTCTGTCCGGTAATCGATATAACGGCTAAGGAGTGATCGATATGGGATCACACGATGAATGAGAGAGATGGGTCAGAGAGAGAGAGAGAGAGAGAATGTGGTTGGGATTGTGATGAAAGGAAAGTGTGTTTGGTCCGAAATATAAAGGCATTGGGTCATACCACAAAGACAAAAAAAAAAAGAAAAAGACTTTCAAACTCGGGGAAAAGTCTTTGGTCATAAGGAGTATAGTTTCACTCCTTCATAGTGTGGGCGAAGTGAAGGTCAAACGCTGACCAATTCAAATCCACATAGTTGTAATTGATTAATTCCATTAATCAAGCGATTAGCTTAATTAATTAGATTAGACAACTAATTAAGGATAAACAACCTGTGTTACCTTAAAGATTCTCTCTACTTGTTTGTTTATTTGCAAAAGTTATAATCTGTTTTGTTGGTGTGTATTATAAAGCTTTGTATAATTTCTTTATTCTCTATATTTATATATGCATGTATATTATTAATTTTGCCGTTGTATGTAAATAATAATAGTGTATTTTTTGGAGGGGACAAAAATGTTTCCTCCTTGGAAAAAAAAATATAATATATCTATTCTTTTTTTTCTTCTAAAATTTCAATTTTTAGTGTGATATTATTGGAGTGTAAGAAGGTTTGTGCTGACCAAGTCTAAATATCTGCAATAAAATATATTCCATGAGAAAATTTCAATATCAAATGATTGTTATCTAACTTTATGCCATAAATTATAAAGTATTATTTTATTATATCAGAAAATATTAAATAGCCCATAATTTATGTTTGCTCGTAACCCCACAGTAATATCAATTTCACACGTCCTATCTCGAACGACGAATCCCAATACTATAATACATACCCGAATATTATATAAATGATGTCAACTTATATATATATATATATATATCATATTTTAAACACTCCATTACAATGCGTATGTTATAATGTTATATCAGATTTTATTTAAATTTACATTAAAGTTTTTTTTCTGATGGTGTTTAATAGTAAATGTTGTCTTTATTTTTGTATCCAAAATACTGAAAGATGAAATCAATTTAACTTTATTTCATGTTTATAAATATACCATAATCGCATTATTTTATTGTCGATCGCCACTGTTTTGTATATTCGTTGTATGTCCAGGAAATATACAATTTTAAATTTCTTGACAATGACTGGAAATTACGAGATTTTACAAAAAACGGAATTAAAATATTAGAAATAATATCACACGGTACACTCTGTATCAGTCAAGAGGGAGATTGGACCGTGGAAATTTCAAACCTCACTTCCGCGTGGATTTTATATTTTCGATTTTTATTTATTTATTTAATTTTTTATTTGATATTTTATTCTTCAATTTTTTATTTATATGACGTCATCGCGCTCCTTGTCATTCAGTCACCCTGATGGTGTCACATGTTAATCACTTTAGAACCTAGAGTTCATATAAATAATTAAACATTAAATAAATCTTATTCTAAAAATATTTGAATATAAAAAGATCGCAAATAAATATTATAAACTCAAAATTTCAGCTGTGTTCTAGAAACTTTTAAGGTGTTATGTAAAAAAATACAAATCAAACGCAATACTTATTTAGGTTCGATTTTCCACCATTACACATAAACATTATAATATATTCGAAGTACTTTTTCAAATTTATGTGATATTTAAGTTCCAATTTTTTAATTTCTGATCGCATTTATTTTTTTTGCTCCATGTTTTTTTAAACATATATCATATATTGCATAAACTAAAGCAACAGAAAGAGAAAAAAAAAGAAGGTAACGTATTCATATGCATTGTAGAATGTGGTTCATATATCCACGGTTTCTTTTTTTTAAAAAAATTGATTTTTCACATATATTTTCGGTCGATGATTGTTCGCTTTTCGACATATCAAGTAGAAATGGTGATGCAACTGAAAAACCTGTCATAGGCTACCAGTTTTTATTTTCAAGCACAATAATAATTAAATATAGAGGTGGACGGGTTTTATAAAATTGAACCGTACCAAACCAAAAAAATCCGTTATCGCTTTCGAACCGAACAATCTAAATTTCTGAACGGAATCGATTTCAGAAATCGAATTTTTCAAAGTCAAATCGAATTAAAAACAATCCAAAAAACAAAATTTTTATAAGAAAATATCATTTGTTTTTATTAAAAGGTGAAAACGAAACCGAACTAAGGGTGTAAAATGAGACGTGGATCGTGTGCTGGTTCACGAGTTGTTCCATATTTTTTCGAGTCGGCTTCAAAATATTGAAACTCAAAAAATATCGGGTCAAACAAGACAACCCGTCACGAATCGAACTCATGGCGAGCCAACTAGCTCGTGGGTTAGAAAAAAAAATATTTTTAAAATTTTAAAATTTTAATATATTTTTATATACAAATTATATTTTTATTACATATTTGGTTTATTTTTATTTAAATTTTTAATTTTTTAGTATATTTTAAATATTAAAATTAGTTTTAAATATTTGTTAGTATTAAAATTTTATTTTAAAAATTTATATATTTGATTTACAGACCGATTCGTTTGGTTTACAGACTAAGACGATATAGGCTGAGCTGATATATTTTTGATTCGCTAAAAAATGAATTGGCTTGGGATGTACTAAAATTTTTCGAGATCGGAACGAATCAGACTGGACCAGACGAACCCGTTTTACACCTCTAAACAAAACCGAAACGAAACGAATTATATCAATAAAAAAAGCCGAACCAACTAATATGTGAACTTCGAACCGGATAACAAATTTCGTTCACCTCTAATTAAATATTCCAACAACACTACCAATAGACGCGTGTCCTCCACGTCATGTGATTGCGCGTGGTATAACAGTTGTACGGCTAAAGCTCATGTGGGTTGATCAAGAACCCCACAAAAGGCTCAATATTCTATTGAGCTTGAGCCGATATTAAGACCCAAGATTGATTACTGGGGCCACGGTATGGTCGAAAACCAAGTGCCCTGGAAAGAGATTGACTCTCACTTCTTCAACCAATTCCAGGCCCATTAAATTAGCCGAATAGGCCTGTATTAGGCCCACTGACAACCATGTGGGTAAATGGGCCTGTGTTAGGCCCATGGCTACAAGGAGAATTGAGACGAACCTGACCGAAAACAACGAATTTGCTCCACCGCAGCTTCGCCGACGAGATCCCCTTCCGATCGCCTTTCTCTCCTCTTTCTCTCTCCCCAAGTCTGCATCGTCTGAATAATGGAAGAATCGCGAAGACTAGGGTTCATTAACCCTCTCACCCGAAACGATGCGTTTTGGAAACCCTCTCAACGAGTCAGAAGATCTCTTTTTCCGCCAACGGGCCTGAAAGCCCAACAGTTGGAAGCCTCGACAGAACAAGTGGTTCTAATGGTTCATCTTTTGGGGGCCTATTAAAGCATATATATTATTAAATATTGTTTTGATTTACTTCCGTTAGGGTTTTTTTTTAGTAAATTTTAACTGAACAAGATTTACTGATGCAAAAAACTAATTAAGAGTCCAAAGACGAATAAATAAACAAAACTCCGAAAATTATGTTCGATTAATTTTTACGAAGTGAAACTTTGACATGGGCAGGGAAGTGGGGGGAGAGAATATGGTGATGGTGGAGGGAAAACGGCGCATGGAATTCCATCAAATGGGGCTTATTGGCGGGAAAATGTCCGTACAGTCCTTGTTCATTATATAGCTATTACTGGAAAACCCACCTCCTTCCCTTTTAACATCGCGAAATGTCCCCCAATTCCTCATTCCGCCATTGATTTCATCTGCTCGCGAGAGTAACAGAGCCTAATATCAGAAACTTTTCGATTGGGCTGTCCGGGTAATTTCCTTGTTGTCGAGATCTCTCACTCGCCCTCTGTTTCTGGAAGAATCTAGGGTTTTGTTTTCTTAGGATTCTGTGTTTTTTTTCCCCGGAGTCTGTTGGCGAGGTGTCTTTGATTTTATCTGGGTTTCGAGCATTTTGTACTCGTGTTTGATTCTGTACTGATTTCAGGTTGACAATCGTGAAGAATAAACGGTTCCGAATCACTGGGTTCTGCGAAAATGGCCTCGGGCGAGTTCGACGATGAAGCGGAGGCGACTGTGTCGATCAATGAATATATCGAGAGCATAGAAGCCGACGAACTGGTAAAGACGCTCTCTCTCTCTCTCTCCGCCCGTATGGTTCAATTTAGGGTTTTTGATTCTTCTAATTCGGCATCCAAAACAACGAATCATGACCTTTAATTAGCTACCCTTTTACTCAGTTTACAGCTTTGGGCTTACTACTCAGACGGGTGTCTATTTTTCTGAGTGATTTTTGGTTTGCTCAGTATATGTTGTATCTGAATTGAAATCCACTACTCGGATTGTTCTTAGGGTCCCTGTTTATTTTCATCTCTACTCTTTGGATTTGTCTCTGTGTGTGTGTGTGTGTTATGGCACAATTACTGAACATGATGGTGTTTATTGCCATTGATGCTTTGTGGGTTATGGGTCTAAAGGAAGCAGATTTGGTTTTGGGTGGAGACGAGGGCGATGAGTGTACGTATGCAAAGGGTTATATGAAGAGGCAAGCCATTTTCTCATGCTTGACTTGTACCCCCGAGGGAAGTGCCGGAATTTGCACAGCTTGCTGTTTATCATGCCACGACGGCCATGAGGTACTTAAGCTGCTTCATGTTTTATCGTTATGAAATGGTCTCATTTGACACGTTAATCGGTTCCTGATGTTTTGTTTACCTTTTCTTTCTTACAAAGGTTTTGGAACTCTGGACCAAGAGAAATTTCAAATGTGATTGTGGGAACTCAAAGTTTGGGGCTTTCGCATGTAAGCTTCTCCCAAGCAAAGATGCGGAAAATTCTGAGAATTCTTACAATCACAACTTCAAAGGTTTGTACTGCACTTGCGACCGACCCTACCCCGACCCGAATGTGGAAGAGCAGGAGGAGATGATACAGTGCTGTATATGCGAAGACTGGTTTCATGAGGAGCATCTCGGTCTGAATTCCACCGGTGATTTTAGTAGTCAGGTTTGTCACTATTGCTTACTTTGCATACAGTTTGATATGGGCTGTCTAGCTATAAGTCCTGTTCTTAAAAGTTGACATATAAGCACTCAATTTGATCTATTTCTTTAGGTCTGATTACGCTTTCAATTCTTTTGCTGTGTAGCAGCAGATTCCAAGAGACGAGGAAGGGGAGCCGGTGTATGAGGATTTCATTTGCAAACTCTGCTCGCCCATTTGTTCGTTTCTGGCACTTTATCCCGAAAACCTTTGGGTTGCTCGGACAGAAACCACTGGTTCTGCTGATGCCTGTTCAGGCAAAACCGAGTCAAAGGAAACCTGTACAGATGCTAGACCCGACAAGCTTGAGAATGGTAATGAACCTGAAAAAACTGTTGTCGGAGATAGCTCCCAGAGTAACGACGACTCAAAATCCATCGAGGGGCTGTCTGCTTGTGTTATCCCGACAGATCCGAAGTCTTGTCCTCATGAGTTTGAGAGCAAACCGCTGTTTCTGTCCAAAAACTGGAGGGACATCCTATGCAGATGTGAGAAATGCTTAGAGATGTACAGCCAGAGGAACATTGGCTATTTACTTGACGTGGAGGACACAATAGCTGAGTATGAGAAGAGGGCAAAGCAGAAAAGATCGGAGAAACTGGAGCGACAAGAGGGCGAAACCTTAGATCTTCTCAACAACCTCGACCACGTAGCCAAGATGGAGATTCTGCATGGCATCAAAGACTTCAAAGAAGAGTTCCGTGGTTTATTGGTACGTAAAAATGGGCAAATCTCCTAAAAGGGTAGAAGCTTGCTGGTGGTTTTCTCATCTTGCATTTTGCATATGATATTATAGTTTCTTCTTGAGGTGTTTTTTTATTCATTTTTTATTAAAGAGAAGAAGGTGTATTTGGTGTACTGTAGGAGACTGCTGGGCCGTCAAAGACCATAACACCTGCAGATGTTGAGAAAATGTTTCATAATCTGAAGAACAAGCGCAAACGCATGGAATGAGAGACGCTGTCATGCCATGGCATGGCATGGCATGGCATCACATGGGCTTTCAGGTACTCTCTGCATCTCTTTGCTTCCTTTTGTCGCCTGTTCTTCTTGGTAGATTCCAAAAGTGCACTAAAAAGTTTGTAGACTTGTTAACGTTCTAGTTTCCCTTTTATCTATATGGTATGAGAATGAGACTGCTCTCTTGTACGGACCGTGCCAGTTAGCTTATTATAAGAACTATATATATATATATATATGGAATAGTTGTGCAAACTAAGTGATGCTTTAGTTCGGTTGCTACACAGATTTCTTGCCCTCCGGTTCTGATGTAACATTTTTTTGGGCTTTCACCAACTTGTCGAATGCTTTGGGTCTTTAGGAGTGCGACGTTTGGGCCTGAGAAGCCCAATTCAGATATGCTTTAGGCCCAATAGAAAGACTTAAGTGGGGTCCATATTTGGCTGAAATGAATAATCTCTCTCTCTCCTCTCCTCCATGCGCCTAATGCCTAGACGTCTTCATCGAATTTTACAAACATGTTACATCTTATTGAGTATTGGTTTTTTTATTTTATTTTTTGGTAATCAACTTATTAATTTCAAATATTGGAAAATTTATTCACTTGAAATCATTTCCTTGTTTCTTTTTTTCTGTATGAGATTGAAATTATTTTGGCCTCGTTTTTTTATTCAATATATTAAATAAATGTCCACATCGTTTGTCATGGATCGACATTTCCGGCAACAATTGGACCCCAAATTCTTAAGCTGTTATTGTTCTCTCCTTGTACTGTACAGTACACATAAAAAAGACAAATATAGCCAAAGATTTAAAAAGTAACAAATTAAAAAATAAAACAACTAAACCCTACTCCTTAAATCTAATTATTACCAAAACTCCTAAAAAAAGCTACTAGTTTATGCTTAGTAATACTCGGGATTACTATAATATTAATTTAAATTCTAATTATTAATTAACCTTAATGAAGATACTTATTATATTTAATTGCACCGGCTTCTACTCCCTTGTTACGAGCGACCACCACAGTCGCCACATGGACGCCATAAACGGGGGCGTTAAAGATTTGGTCTGCCACGTGTCGGAGTTCCAAAACGCCGCCGTTTTGAGAGTGTTTCAATAGAAGCCTTTCGGCTTCGAGCTTTGGCATCTTGATCTTAACCCTAATGATTTCCTCTTTCCTCTTCTCCACCACGAAACCCTCTTCGCGATTCAGAGTCTCCGCGTGGAACCTTGGGACGTTGTTTGGCGACTTTAAGCCTTCTCTCTCGGGCGGAGGCTCTATCGTGGTGTGCTCGTCGGCGAATCTCACGAACTTTTTCGTCTTTTTCTCGGTTGAGTTGGAGTTGCTGTTTCTGCAAATGGGTTTTAAACCCTCTTTCTCGTGAAGAGGCTTGTCCAAGGGCTTTACTGAGTGCTTCTCGTTTAAGTCGTCTCTGTAAACTGGTTTTGTTTCTCCAACGTTGTCGGACCTTCCTTGATGTCCCCTGAAGCAGTGAGCGAAATAACCCACCATTTTCTTGAGAGAGAGAGAGAGAGAGAGTAGGGTTTTGTAGTTTGCAATGGAAAAGGTCTTTTAGTTCATTGATGGAGGAGAGGGCTTATTCATGCGAGTGGGTATATATATAAAGGGGGACCAAAGTCTTTGAGTGAGGTTCGGGGCAGAGAAGATGACGTCACATATCTATTTCCGCCGTATGACCATTTGCTTTGAATTTTCCTCTCTATTGTTTGCTTATGTCATTCATCAAAACCCTAACCCTAGGCAAAAGGATGTGTAATATTCCCAATATTCACCCACAAATCTTCCACAGTTAGAATACATGATGCGTGCGTATATACATACATATATGTGTTTCTTATATGCATACATTACATGTTACATATGAGTTTGCGATGGGTCTGTGCGCTTTCTTGGTCTTGATGTGACGGGTTACCTCGGGAAGCTATCCCAAGTCGTTGACAGTCAACAGTGTTCTTTGAAATGGTCAACTTGAATGATTCTACGTTTTCGACATTTCTTCGACCTAATTAAGGCCATAGACTCGTTCAAATGACTCCATTACTTCTTAGATCCACTCCAATAATTACACATATATACATACATATACATATATATATGAACACCCATGTATACACACACACAAGCTTTAAAGATTTTAGAAGTTTCTACTTAAATCATGAGAACTATACAACTTAATTTTTTTAAAAAAAATAGATACATACGCCGTATGATATTGTGCATCTAAGACATGCAAGCGTACATGATATTGAAAACAATAACTGAATAGATACAAATAATGAGAAAACATTATATATAATTCTATTTTTGTAACAAGAATTACCAAAGAAACCAACCTAATTGGATAGATCAACCGGTGAAATGAAAAAGTAAACCGTTTGTTTCGTTTCGAATTCGAATTTCAAATTGAAAAAAAGAGTGTCTTGTTCCCGATTCCATAATACTTCGACATAAAACACTCGGTTATCCGAAGAAAAAAATGACCAAATAAAAAAGTAGGGTAAGTGAAGACACCCGAAAGAGTGACATACTATCATAAATAAGGGTAGGAGACTCGAGACTAAAGTGGATATACACATACAAACAAAATAAATATCAATGTCGTAGAATTATATTGAGACCGTCGTTTTCTGTGAAGAAAATTAGGAAAAGTGTTTGCCTATGCAACGCGTTTACGCATTTTTTTTCTTCATCTCTTAACGCAATTGACCCATGACCTTCGCAATTCCATCTTCTCATATATATATATATATATATATATATATATATATGAGAAGATGGAATTGCGAAGGTCATGGGTCAATTGCGTTAAGAGATGAAGAAAAAAAATGCGTAAACGCGTTGCATAGGCAAACACTTTTCCTAATTTTCTTCACAGAAAACAACGGTCTCCATACGAAAAAATAACACATGGGAGCTCACTTCATTGCCTCAAGGACACGAAGCCATTGGAGTTAAATGGGTGTTCAAAACAAAGAGGAATGCCAAAGGAGAAGTGGAAAGGCACAAGGCAAGGTTGGTAGTGAAAGGATACAAACAAAAGCATGGAGTTGACTATGAAGAAGTCTTTGCTCCTGTAGCTCGGTTGGAAACGGTGAGATTATTGATCTCACTCGCAGCTCAGAAGAGATGGAGGATGTATCAGATGGACGTAAAATCAGCGTTCTTAAATGGAAATCTCGAAGAAGAAGTGTATGTTGAACAACCGCCGGGATTTGTTATTGCGGGACATGAGAAAAAGGTGTACAGGCTGAAAAGAGCTCTTTATGGGCTCAAGCAAGCACCGAGAGCTTGGAATACCAGAATCGATGCTTACTTTGTTCGAGAAGGATTCATGAAGTGTCCATATGAACACTCCTTATACGTGAAGGTCAAAGGTACTAATGTGTTATTCATATGTCTATATGTGGATGATCTGGTATTCACAGGCAATAACAATACCATGATTCAAGAATTCAAGCAATCGATGGAGAAAGAATTTGAGATGACGGATTTGGGCATGATGAAATATTTTTTGGGCATCGAAGTACATCAAGGTGAAGGTAACATTTTTATCTCCCAAGAGAAATATGCGACTGACATTTTGCAAAAGTTTTCGATGGATGATTCTTTGCCCATAGACACACCGGTGGAGTGTGGTACGTGATTGACGAAGGAAGGAGAAGGAAAACCCATAAACCCGACATATTACAAGAGTCTTGTGGGTTGTCTAAGGTATCTGACTTGTACTCGACCTGATATTTTATATGGAGTAGGATTGGTTAGTCGGTACATGGAGAACCCAAAGTCTTCCCATCTTGAAGCTGCTAAGCGGATTCTCAGATACATCAAAGGGACAGTTGGTTACGGGTTATTATATTCATCTAAAGGAGAAGCAGAACTCATTGGTTATAGTGACAGTGATTGGGCTGGAAGTTATGATGATCGCAAGAGCACTACCGGGTTTGTGTTCTATTTTGGTGATGCAGCATTTACTTGGTCTTCAAAGAAGCAATCGATTGTTGCTCTGTCAACATGTGAAGCGGAATATATAGCGGCATCTTCATGTGTTTGTCATGCTATATGGTTGAGGAGACTCCTTGGAGAGTTGATGTTGAAGCAAGAAAATACAACAAAGATTTATGTGGATAACAAGTCAGCTATTGCTCTGGCGAAGAACCCTGTTCATCATGAGCGTTCGAAACATATCGACACACGGTTTCATTTCATTCGGGAGCATGTCAAGGCTAAAGATGTTGATTTGTTGCATGTGAGTTCAGGTGATCAAGTTGCAGATATTTTTACGAAGGCTTTGAAGACGGATGCATTTCAACACTTTCGAAAGCAGCTCGGAGTCCAAGTTCAAGGAGGAACAAGTTTAAGGGAGGCTAATGTTGGAAATTAAACTTGCCCTAGTATTTTGTGTTCTAGTTTTGGGTGTTCAAAATACTCCTAGTTTTCAAGAAAATAATTATGCTAAGTTAGACCAAAATTAATCATGTATCATTATGGTGTTTTACTAGAATGTTCTTAGGATTACTATATATATAGGTGGAGTTTTGGAGTTTGTAGAACAACAACAAAAAAAACACAAGAAAATAAAGGAGTATTTTGAGTATTTCTCCTCATCTCTTCTCATTCATATACTTATAAAAGTATATAAAGAAAAAGCCTAAGAGCTTACACCTACTTTATATAATTTAATTAAAAAAATTTAATCTCTTTTTGTAATTTTATAATTTTTTAAATAAAATTGATAAATGACTCATAATAAAATTAAGATTGTTTCAATGAAATTGTAAGTGCTCCTTTTCAGAAATTGTTTTGGGGTTGTTACTATATATATATATATATATATATATATATATATTGTTAATTTATTGAAGACGTCGTTTACCCTTTTGGACTCCCCGTACGTATGTGTATTAGTTAATTATTGATATGTAGAAATGGTATCAGTCAAGATTCTATTCTATTCTATTATATATATATACACACGCGCACATGTATGTGTATGTGCGTTATATATTTTTGCAAATTTCATTGTAATTAGATTCAGTAGTAATAATATTTGACCGCGTCAAACGTGTAATCCCTATAGATACTTCCACATATATATGATTACTATACTATTTTGGTCGTGAGGGCAGAAAAAGCGTAAGATTCGTCAAACGACATTAATTTACCCAAATGTTTGGATGAACAAACAAAGATTATTGTCCATCCAAATATAAAAAATAAAAAAATTAAGCTTTTTTAATAGGAAAAAGAGCGTTTGAATGATCATTTGGAGATGATGAAACTCGGACTGTATAATCAAATATGTATCTCGGACTTGAGAATAGAGGAAGAAGACAAAAAGATTTAAGGGATGGAATATATAAAGGAAATAGTTGCCATTCTCCCATACAAATATGTATCCCGTACGTATGTGTATTAGTTAATTATTGATATGTAGAAATGGTATCAGTCAAGATTCTATTCTATTCTATTATATATATATACACACGCGCACATGTATGTGTATGTGCGTTATATATTTTTGCAAATTTCATTGTAATTAGATTCAGTAGTAATAATATTTGACCGCGTCAAACGTGTAATCCCTATAGATACTTCCACATATATATGATTACTATACTATTTTGGTCGTGAGGGCAGAAAAAGCGTAAGATTCGTCAAACGACATTAATTTACCCAAATGTTTGGATGAACAAACAAAGATTATTGTCCATCCAAATATAAAAAATAAAAAAATTAAGCTTTTTTAATAGGAAAAAGAGCGTTTGAATGATCATTTGGAGATGATGAAACTCGGACTGTATAATCAAATATGTATCTCGGACTTGAGAATAGAGGAAGAAGACAAAAAGATTTAAGGGATGGAATATATAAAGGAAATAGTTGCCATTCTCCCATACAAATATGTATCCCGTACGTATGTGTATTAGTTAATTATTGATATGTAGAAATGGTATCAGTCAAGATTCTATTCTATTCTATTATATATATATACACACGCGCACATGTATGTGTATGTGCGTTATATATTTTTGCAAATTTCATTGTAATTAGATTCAGTAGTAATAATATTTGACCGCGTCAAACGTGTAATCCCATTCGAAATTATGATGAGGGTGGAGAGTGATCGTCAATACAAGTGGCACAATCAAGGAGCGATTCTCACACTGCAAGATACAACTTAAAAGAATTGATTTAGCTAGTCATACCAACAAAATGAATCTACTTTTTCTATCATGTATTTCGAGATAACTCTCCAGCGTTAAAAATGTTCACTTTTTGTAACAGTAATTGTTAATGATTGATGATCTATTAAGAAGTGTTTTTCGGTATTCAGGTAAACGAGGATAAAATACGGTGAATGATATCATATTGTTATAATAACCAGTTGTTGGTTTCCTTTCAAATCCAAAAAGAAAAAAGAAAGCCTCCTACAAATCATTACATTCCACCTTTGTGAAGCAAAATCCTTACACCCACATGAAATACTGAGTTGGCAAGCAACCCCTCTTTTTTTTTATTGTTTAGATGGAAGGGTATAGTTGGCAATTTGTTTTTTCATACTATAAATTCTCATATTTACGTAACATAATATCGTTTTCCACTGCCGTAACATTCCATCAATATCACATTGGTTACTAAGAAGCTCATATTCACGTCACATTTCTTTCAAGTTTCTATTTTGGAAAAAATCTTTAAATTCGTTTGCAAAGAATATAACTTATAGATGTATTAATTAAATTATCATGAATATTAAACGGATAATAGTACCCATTACAAAAACAGAAATTAGCGAATTATATTGTTATTGAATTCAAATATATAAACTGAATCTAATATAAACATGATTAAATACTGAGTTCAGATTTAGGGATTAAATAGGTCGAAGGTGAATCTCTTATTAACAAAATATGTATATATATATATAAACCGAACCCAATAGTAGATAATCATGACCTCAATCGAATCTTATCTAATCCAATGAAATAAAAATCAAGCCGATATAAAAAATCAAATTAATTTAAGAAAATAAAAATGAAAATGAAAATCCAACGAGTGAAAAGCAATTTCATCTGAGCAAAGCTGGCCAATGAGATGTGCGTTAACCAAACAGACGCTTTTGAGGGACAAATTTGTCTTTTTGCCAATTTCTGCAGTGTCTCCTCCTCCTGGCCCTGGAACCAATTTGTTGGGGTCAAAATTACATTCATCGCCGCTTTTCTCCCTTCCTCCTCCGTAAATTCTCTCTTCCATTTTTGTTTCTTCTGATCAGGTAATGGAAATTCTCGGTGAATTTGTAGGCTGTGTTTTTTTAAAAAGTAGTGTAATCTGATTCTCGGAGAATTTGGTTGATGATTAGCTCTCGATCGTCATGTTTCTACAGTGGGTTTCTTCTTCTGCTCGAGATTTTGGATTTGGTTAGGGTTTTGATTTATGGGTTTACTTGCTTGTGTCTGCGAAAAGTTTTCAAGTTATGGATCATCCTTCAGCTTAAAGAGTATCACTGTATCAGAAAGGGTCTTTTGTGAAGTGAATCTCGATGTTTTTCTCAAGTTCGTCGTCGAAGAATAGAAGAAGGCTTTGTTTTTTAGTTTAGAATTTGAATTAATTTTGGTGTTTTCTTTTCTCGAATGCTTCTTAATTAAGTCTACGATTATATAGAAGATAGATAGATCGTAGCTATGGTTCGAAATCTCTGTCAATGATCGGAGAAAGATTTGGCTTTGTATCAGATAAACATATAGATACATCATACTGATATGAACAGTGAACACTCTTTTAAATTCTTATCCATTAAACCAGTTTCAGTGATTCATTATCGTCATATATGTGGGAGATCCGGAGAAATGTTTGGTTTCTCTTTGTTTAAACGCAAAATCGTATTAAGTTTTGATTGTTACACTGCAGATCGAAGTACAGCGTGCTGGGATAATAGCCAATAGTTTCAATCGAAAGAAGGACCATTCTGTTCGATTTTGCTTCTCAGTTTGGTTTTTTCTGTTCTGGTGAAAGTTTCCACTTTCCAGTTTTGTCTTAATGGATGATGGTACTCCCAGCAAGATAAAGATATTACCGGATCACTTTAGGGCTCCTAGTCCTGCACCTGAAGAAGCTACTCAAGAGGATTCTCCATCATCTTCCCAGCCAAGGGCAGATATTTTGTTAAGGTAAAACTCGTTTCTTCCGTGTAGATGCTGCTTACACATATATATGCTGAAAGGGAAGCACTTAACGTGACGTAACTAGTTGCTTTTCTTGCCGTTGTTTAGAGCAGGTCTCATAGCCAATCCCGGGCACGGAGAAAATTGAAGAAAGCAGCACTCATGTTGAATCTTTTCACTCTTCGGCGTCTGTCTTGGAACTCGAATGGTCAGGAGAAGGTTCAACTTAACACCTTTTCTATTTTGCATCACTTGGGTGCTGTTGAATCTAAAAGAGGTTTTCCCTGATAACCCATCACCTTGGATTTGCAGGTAGAGCTATCAGCGTCGGAATTGGAATCTCTTAGATCGGAACTTGCTGATTTAGAAGAGAGGGAAGCTTACCTAAAGGCACAGTAAGTCACTCTCAATAGGTGCTGTTGAGTTTTGAATCTATCTATCGATATGTTATATGTTTCAAGGTCAGAACCATGGACCCAATTCTTGTCTTTTTACTCTTCATAGGTTGGAACATGTGGATGAAATATTACGCTCTGCCCGGTTATCTGGTTATTTGTATATTCGAACAGTATGTGCCCCTCCGTACCAGTGATTTTTACTGCATGGCTCTCACATTGCGGCAGTATTTACAAGTTTTGTCCCTTTGTGTTTACCGAAATTGACAGAGGTGGACTGCTCTCCCGGGCGAACCGCCTCCTATAGACGATACAGAAGTAGACGACTGGCTTCCTCGCTTTGTTGTCCTTCAGGGCGCCTGTCTTTTCTTCTATCTATTGTCAACAGGTGGTGTATTTTCTCTTTTACAACAGAAAGGCCATCTCTTTTTGAGCGTATGTCCTTCCCCATGACGTATTTCTCCTGATTCTTTCGCAGATTTGAGCCCTCAAGATTCGACCCTTCTAGCCGATATTGTGGAAGTTGGTTCCTTGCCAACCTTCACAAGAGAATTCGATGAGATCTATCACTGCTTTTACATTTTAACCCATCAAGGCCTACGCTTCGAGTGCTCAAGCCCGTCTAAGATACAGGTGGAACCCGATACTTTTGTACATCGTATTATCAAAACAGCACTTGAAATGCACTGGTTCACCCATGATCTTGAAAGTTGAAAGTAGAAACCAAATACAGATGCATTGATGGGTATTCTTGAATTTATACATTGTACCAATGCCATCACCAAAGACATTGATACTCTCTCTCTAGTTACCCAAGTTGCTGACACAGAAAACATTGGATAAGGTCATTGTCTGAAATCGAATCGTTTTCATTCGTTGTTTTGATTGTTACTGATTGAATATTACATGCTGCATTTCTTTTGTAATTATGGCTTTTGTTGGGAATATTTTCAGGTGGAGTCTTGGTTGTCACTGTTACGCCGTGATTGCAGCACTGAATCGGA